TTTTAATCAAAAAAATCTTTTAAAAATTATGCTTGCAGCTAATGTAAATGAATAAGTAATTGCCACTATCACGAGAAAGTGAGAAACACGAGCTGCCCCTGCTAAAACAAACCGCCATTAGTTATTTTTGTGATCAATAAATATTATTATCTATACCATATTTGTTTTTGGTGAAAAAACAACTATTTTCTGCTCTGGTCCTCCTTACGACAAAATCTAAAATATCCAAAACGAGGCCTGACCGTATTAATTTGGCCTCATTTTCGCAACATCTCAGTCAACAATTAATCTAGCCTTATAATCGAGTTAGATACGGTCTATATATCTCATAGGTCACGTTGCAAGAATGATGAATTTCCACCCTATTTGTTTTTTAGGAGATTTCCGTTTCTAGCACCATAATTTGAGACTCCATAGATAGCAACTTGCTTTTATATTCTTTCCTGCATTTAGGTGCTTACATAAAAGAAACCAATGGTTTTGTAGGAACCTGTTCTCCTTGACAAAAGTGCATGTCTGCCTATCAGCTTTCACAAAGCCATTTTCTTGTCGTAATCCATAGGTGAGTTTTCCCTCCTTAAACTTCCCGTTGTTACTTCCATCTCATAATCTCATTGGTCCTTTAAGGTTTTATTTCCAACCAGACATCTACAGTTTTTTCAAAGTCAAGGACTATTTTATCTCTATTCGATAGAACTTCTCTTTCTGACTTCTGTTTTCTTGAGCTGCAGTAATCTGAAAAAATGGCGGTTGAGAAATACGAAATTGCTAAAGATGTAACTGAAGTAAGTTATCTTCATTGTCAGGTCAAATTATAATCCTATCTTCTTTGCGGGTTCCGTTCTTTCGTTTGCTTAGGATCTATTTGTCATGTTTATTTGCCCAGTTGATTGGTAAAACTCCATTAGTGTATCTCAACAACGTTCTGGATGGTTGCGTTGCCCGTATTGCTGCTAAACTTGAGGGGATGGAGCCATGCTCCAGTGTCAAAGACAGGTACAATTAACTCCTTGTCATTTATGCTTCCTTTTTTTTTCCCTACCCTTCTGACGAATCCCTATTTTTCGCTTTGTTCATTTTTGTAAGAGTATTATTTCCTTTGAAATTCTTGCTTCAAATTTTTGCTGGGTTCTGATCATTGTGGCCTGACATGCAGGATTGGCTATAGCATGATTGCTGATGCAGAAGCCAAAGGCCTCATCACACCAGGGGAGGTTAGTAAGAAGAATTCTGAAAATGCTATATAATTTGATTAATATTCTTTGAATCATAGCTACGCCATTTTGCAAGTGCATGTATTGGTGACTTTGGTGCCGTTATTGTGAAAATACCAGCATAACTTGTATTCTCAAGTGATATATTTGTTCATTTTTCATGCTAGTGTGAAGAAAGAAAGATTGTGAGGTTAATTGTTTGGTGGAGTTTTCATGCTGTTGAAATTTCCATTGATTTTGATGGGGCTTCACAAACTATTGCTGCAGAGTGTTCTAATTGAGCCTACAAGTGGAAATACTGGCATAGGACTGGCCTTCATGGCTGCTGCCAAGGGTTATAAACTCATCATCACAATGCCTGCATCAATGAGTAACGAAAGAAGAATAATTCTCCGTGCTTTTGGAGCTGAGTTGGTTCTTACTAATCCTGCTAAAGGCATGAAAGGGGCTGTCCAAATGGCTGAGGAGATCAAGGCGAAGACACCCAATGCATATATCCTCCAGCAGTTTCAAAACCCTTCTAATCCAAAGGTATTTGCTCTACCATTACTTTGATAAGTCATTGATTGACATTATTATCTGATACGTGCCATTATTTAAGTAGGTTCATTATGAGACTACTGGACCTGAGATATGGAAAGGTTCTGGAGGGAAAGTTGATGCCCTTGTATCCGGGATAGGAACTGGTGGAACCATTACAGGTGCCGGGAAATACCTGAAAGAGCTGAATCCTAACATTAAGGTATGCTTGGCCCTGGATTCTTACGTTGAATCACAATAAAGTTTTATTCGTGACTATTCTTAGAACAGAATTTAAGCGTGTCTGCTTTATTTTTATTTTTATTTCCTAACTGTCAAGGTTTTCTTTGTTTTCATGTAGCTATATGGAGTAGAACCAGTTGAAAGCCCCATTTTATCTGGAGGAAAACCTGGTGAGTTTTTTTAAAATTTAATGCGACTCATATGCTTGATGTTTCACACTCCTTGCACGTGCTGCTTTTCAATTTTCCTACACAATCTACTATATAGGCAAAACAGATCAATCATTTATGAAATTTGTACCACAAGGTTTTTGGCATGACTGCATTATTGAGTGGAATGCGAAATGAAAACATTTCTATGGTAATATGCATGTTGGTTCATCTGATGATTCCTTCTTGGAGCTTTAATCTTGGAACAACCACTGTAATGTTATGCAAACAGTTTCTGATTTCCCTTTAGAAAAAATACTGTCTAGGACATTTTATGGTGAGCTTGCTTTCCATAGATCCAAATAATTCTAGTTTATTTTTGTATTACCGTGGTAACTAAAGTAAGGAGGACCCCTTTTTTATATATAAGTTATTGCAAGCTTACTGATTCATGCATGCATTTATGCCAAGGTCCACATAAGATCCAAGGAATAGGTGCTGGGTTTGTCCCAGGGGTTTTGGATGTCAAGATCGTTGATGAATTTGTTCAAGTAAGCCCAAAATGTTCTTGATTACTCGTATATTTATATTAGTACTCCAGCAATTATCATTTCATGAATTTGATTCATCACATATTATTCTGCACTTTCCCCAACAAATTGTTGCCAGATTATATTGGCTGCTTTAAAGCTTGCTTTAAATCATCTCATGAACTGGTGAATAACATGTCAGATTACAATACAGAGAATGAAATGTCTCCTTAGAGAAATGCAATGATTTGATGTGCAGATACGAATGATAGCTCTGTTTTGCATGTCTGCACAGATTTTTATCAGTTTTTTTATTGTCCCAGACTGTTCCCCAACGAATTTATGCGATTTTGCAGATATCAAGTGATGAAGCAATTGAAACTGCAAAGCTTCTTGCATTGAAAGAAGGTTTGCTAGTAAGTTCTCAACCTGTAGAGTCTGCAACTGTTACTTCTATGATGTGCCCTTAGACTATCTTATAAAAATATCTGTTACATATTGTATATAACTTGCCGTCGCTGCAATTCTGTCCTTTACATCACACTGATTGTGGGAAATTCTTTCAGGTTGGAATATCATCGGGCGCTGCTGCAGCTGCTGCAATTAAGATTGCAAAGAGGCCAGAGAATGCTGGAAAACTCATTGTTGTAAGTCAGATTATAGCACCCCAAACATTTGTATGAAATAGTAAAGCTATAATATTAGTTGGCTTACATGAAGCATTACGTTCTGCCTCTACAAACTGACTTCCTAACACTGTTAGGGCTAATGGTGTTCCCTCCCTTAGTCAAGCTATGCTTCTCCTTCCCCATGGTTCTTTTTGTAGCCTTTTAAATGACAGATGGGGTGTGGACTGTCAAAAGATTGTATAAAATGGGAAATAAAAATGGGATAGCCAATTTTGTTTGTGTGATTTGAATATTCTATGGTTGTGTCGGGGTGGGAATGGGAAATAAGAACAAGATAATTTGTTAGCTTCCTGCAATGTCCGATTTGTTCAGCCATCAATCATTTTTTGTTTTTGTTTTTGTTTTGTGCAGGTGGTCTTTCCCAGCTTTGGAGAGAGATATCTGTCCTCTGTTCTGTTTGATTCTGTGAGGCGAGAGGCCGAGAGCATGAAATTTGAACCTTGAGCGTTCCAGATTTTTCAGATTGGAGAAGAGTAGGGAGGTTATAAGAAAAACATGATTTTCCTTTTGGTCAACATTTGGATTTCCCAACACTTTGTAATAAGAGACAATCGAGTGATGGATGTCAGCGCATCTGATTCCAAACCCATGCTGTGTTTCTTTCACCATAAATAAGCAATCATATTCATATCTTGTAATTTACTTCCGATTTGTTGACCCATTTTCTCATGCGTCTTTCCGATTTAGGACGTGAACAGTGAAAATGGTCCAAAGGGACGGGATAATGATGCTCACTTGCCATGACAAATCACCTCTACCGGCATACTACCAATGTTTGCTTATGAACAATGAAATCCAATGTCAAACTTCAAACACGATTCTCAAGTCAAAATTGGAACGATAGAATCTTTGTGATGCACTATTTCGTGGTTCAACTAAAAGAAAATCAAAAGCCATTGAATATATATATTTTACATGAAAAAACAAACCACGAAAAAAATCTACAGCTCTAAAATTGCCAGGTGATAGATAACTCAAGTGATCTGATCTCCCTCCAACGCAAACCAAAACCCACGGTCAAAGATCTCTGCCATTTGTCCAAGTCTCAGCTTCTTATTCTAATGCTATCTTGTTTTGTTTGTTTTTTAGCTAAAGAAATCTTGAAGGCCTCTACCGGCAAAAACCCGATCGGACAACTCAGCCAAAACGGCGTTAACAGTGAGTAAAACGACACTAGACCCAACAATGACTCCAATGACGACACCTGTGGTTCCCAGGACCTTACCAAAAGCAGGCCACTCTATCTCTTGAATCTCCTCCGCTACTCCACTCCAAAAATTCCCTTCCTCTTTGCTCTTCCTTTCCATCATCGCCTTCTTTATCTCCGCTCCCAACTCTCCCGTCACCGAAGACTCTGGTTCTGATTCCATTCCCGGTTTCTCCACTGCCTCGGATTCCGTGCTCTCCTTTTCAACTGCCTTGATTGCAAAACAATCCCGGCGCTCTTTTGTTTTTGAGTGCGTGATGGTGAGTATTTTAGAGTGGGATTGGAAGATGTTGAAACTGAGAGGTGGAGGTTTGAATTGTAATGTAGGATTCGAATGGGTTGGTTTTGATGGAGGTTGTGTGTGGGGGAGTTTGATTGAGAGAGAGGAGAGTGCCATTTCTCTTTGATGTTTCACTCGCAGATGCTTTTGGTTTTGGGTGGATACTGGATAAGAAACGAAGGAAAGTCGTAGCGTTCAGAGAGGGTTGTTTGGGCTGGGCTTAACCATGTGAGGCCCGTATTGTTTTCATGGTTTGCAAATAGCGGATCGTGATATCCGTCCTCCAACCAGTTACTCATGTTACGTATAGACA